AATAAGCGCAAAGCTACTACTAATCCAGAAACTTAATTAATAAAAGACTGTAATTGGTGTGTTTGATTCCTTATTTGGATTCTTCAACCAAATCCCATTCAGCCCAGGGAAAACCGGCTACCAGGATAATGTAGAGATCTTTATGTTTTCCCAAGGTCTTTAGATATTGGAGTCCGCTAATGAATTTGGCCACCTAGCCTTAAGATATGGGGCATAAACTTCAACCAGGATCGCTATGAATGCAATACAAAGTTGCTGGAGTTTCTATAAAGGAATTGGCATCAAGTTCTGCCATTTGACGGTCTCCCCCCAAAGCTGAGTGATGCAAATTTGCATATGACTGTAAAACAGAGGCCGTTTTCTATGAGCCCCTCATCCCGGTATATTATTTCTTTGTTTAGATTTTTTTCAGTTCCTGAATTGGGTATACAAATAGGGGCAAGTTCGAACGCTTTAATATACATTAGATGGTGGCTTTTTCTAGTAAACTTTCTGTGGCTCCTGATGAGAATGTTCTATTGCCGCTAAATTGTGTCCCTTTTGCGCTATAAAAAATGCAACCGAAAACTATGCATCTCACATCGGATAGAGGCAAGAATTTGCGCTTTGCTCTTTTACGGTCCATACCAAAGAAATACTGTTCATATTCCCTCAATGTTCAAAAGGGAATGAATAAATCATCAAACAATATTAATAAATACCTACTGGTGGATTGGGGCGAAGAGAGTCATTTGATGAGATGAGGTTTAGTTGAAACATAAGTTTACTGTGGATTACTACTAGCCCGGAAAATCCGCTTATTGGAACTGAGGAGAAGATTTTTTTTCGCATAAATTTTTTTGCAACAATGGCGCAGTCTTTTTTTTTTTCGCATAATTTTTTTTTGCAACAATTGAGGATGACGTAGAGACAAATTTACGGGGTAGCAATACAACGGGTTAAAAATATGACGTATTATACAGTAATTTGAAACGGAGACAAGAAACAAAACAATAGAATTATACCAAGACTAAACCCGCAAATCTGGAAAAAACCGTTGATCATCCCTCCTTTATAAGATAAGGAAACTACAACAACACTGTTTAAAGAAAGGGATAACATGATGATCTAGTCAACTAGGCAACGTGTGGGAATGTAGACATTTTGAATCTCGATGAAGTATCGTTAGCAACCCTGTCGTATTTGGAAAAGTTTAAATTTAAACAGGAAACAATTAGAGTTTGAATAATCAACCAAAACGAGGGGATTTTTTTTTAAAACAAAACGTTGGCAGAGGAGGTCACAATTTTTTCTTGGTATAACGGTAGTAAGAGATAACCCGAGAAAAGATGAAATATTGATTTAATCCCTCTCTCTTTACAACGTTAAAATTCCCTCATTCTCGGTATTCATTACTAGAATAAGTCAAGAGCAGGGGGGGAAGGGGGCTGCTGTTTATTTAAATCCTTTATATGAACAATCGCTTTGGATATCCGCATTTTTTTTGCAGACAAACTGCATTGATGCTATTGTAGTTGTTACTTATAGTAGAAATGCCCAGCCAACTTTGAACAAAGATAAGACAAGAGAGTTTTGTTTTTAACAAATAATAATTTAATTTCTTTTAACAATGCTTTGCCCCCCGCTTTTCCTCAACTTCATTTTATTTTTTAAAGTTTTACAGTTTTTTTGATTGTTTCTCAAATTTTATAATTCAAAACAACAAAATTAGACTGCAATTTTACACGTTTCTTTAGTACATTTACATATTCAAGAAAAAAAGAAAAATCCCCACCCCCAGATTTCTAAAATAAATCTTCACTAAATAATTTCATAAACCTTCATTAAAGAGACATAATTAATCATACTAAAAACTAAGATAGTCTATATATTCTCTCATAAACCATAAGACAAGAGAGTGTGTGTGTCTTTCTCTATACAAACCCAATAAACCCAAAATCATAAACCCGTAAACATCCCAAATGGAATAAATAAATAATAATAATAAATAAGAACTAAAAAAAAAATGAACCGAACCCAACCGATTGTATTAACCATGTAATGTCTTTTGTTGTAACTGTTTTTTTTTTTAAATATGATCACTACTTGATCTTCTAAATTTAAACTTCTTGATTTTAATTTTATAATCAACTGATTTAATTGAATCAATAATTGAAGAACCAAGAGCAATACCTCTAGAATTATTAGAAGAATTACTCTTACAATGTGAAGTACTTGAAGTAGTAGTTGAAGTATTAGCAGTACGAGGACATGTAGGCAAATCTTCTGTCGTGCTATTGCTTGAATCACTTGAAGGAATAGTATAATAATCATAGCCATCTTTGGCTACATGCTTCTTATTCTTTTTCTTGTTGTTAATCATCTTAGATCCATTAGTACAACATGATGATGATGAATGATATATTGATTGAGAAGGTGATAATTGAGGTGAATAATTTAATTTACAATCTTGAAATTCACATCCTTTAACATATTTTATAAATTCATGATATAAATTAATTAAAATATCATCATAAATACTTCTCTTGCATTTAATCAACAAAGTAAAATCAGGTTTAGTTAATGGACACAATGATGCTCGATAACAACATGGTAAATTGATTTCAAATGGTGAATCTACAGCAATATATTTATAATATAATCGTTGCCAATGTACTAAAGTTGGTGGATGTAATAATAAATAAGTATTAATATCTAAAATGAATTCTAAATTCTCTTGACAATGAATACTAGTTAAATAAGTTATAAAATTCAGTAAATTATAATGAGAATCTTGTGGTGTATTACTATCTAATAATTCATCTAATGTAGGTGGTTCAAATTGAGTTGCTGGTAGTTCTGCTGCAGGTGTGGTAGTTGTGGTTGTATTGGTTGTTGCATAGGGTCTAATTGTATAATTGAAGTAATCAGGTATTGTAGATGCTGACACCTCAGTCGTTATTGAACTTGCTGAAGTCATCATCCTTTTTATATTTATGTTAATGTTTGTAATAATCTATAAAGATTTTATCTATTCATAGGATTATAGTAATAAATAGATAAAAGAATCTATAATATGGCTGTTAAAAACGAGTTTTTAAAAATGGAATATTTTTGGGGGGTTTTATGTAAAAGAAAAATTTTTATTTTTTAATTTTTTTTTTATTCCTGAAGCATATTTTATTTTTTTGAGGTATCTTTTCAGCCACAAATTTGAAAATATTATTATGTCATTACACGACCATTCTTTCATAGTGTTGAATAGAAATTTCTCCTCAATTACCTGATTTTTAAGTGACACAAAAATCTTCAATATGCAGGTTGGGAATATTTTTTAATTTTGTCATCTTCACAACCAAACCACACTTTTTAACTGCTTTATAAATTGGTAACCGTTATTACTAATTAATTTAAAACCGAACCTACATTCTGATCATATACAATGACCAGTCCCAACTTAAGCCTTGATGCAAATGCTTACCAGCAACAATTTAACCCTTGCAAATGTCTTAAGGGATAAGACAATGTCCATATTTCAAAGCTCGACTTTATTTCAGATAAGTTCATATCTCTCCACTTTGACAGAACTACTATCTATTTGATTAATTAAATTGAATTGGAGATTTACTATTGGAAAGTATTGAAGGATGGATGTAATTATTTTGTCTCTCCACTTTTTTTTACCAAGAATCTCCAGAAAATTAAAGTTTATGTGAAAAAGGAGATAATATGCATGAAAACCGTTTTATTTTTAAATCGTGGGTCCTTTTTTTTTTTTGAGATATCACCAGGTCACTTGGACTAAATAAATCTCTTGAATAATATTTCAAACTGCTAATTTAACGAGCTATATTTAAATCATAGCCCACTACTTTTCGTAATCTCTCTCTCTATATCATCCAAGAATATTATGCTATCTTCGATACAGCCTTCTTTAGAATGATAACTATGTGTCTTCACTCTTAATGTATCACAAAAGCGAAATTATTAAAATTATTTCCGATGAAAGAACAATCAAATTCCAGATTTGATAAATAAAAAACAAAAAAATCTGGAGATTCTTTGTTAGACAATAATTTTATTTCGGTGGTAAATTCTGTATTATCACTCCGGTGGATAAAGATTATTAATAATTACCAAGATAAAGTTACCAGAGATTATAAATGTAAAATATATTAGAACCGAAATATAAAAAAAGTAAGGCTCATTTTACTTTTCGGTTATTCTTTTTTCCAACGTCTTTATAATGAAAATGGTATTACTTCGAGAATAGTTGCAAAAAGGAAAACGGATGATCATCTTTTGTTGTTTTTATATACTTTTAATTTTTAATTCATGCATCAAAAAATGGTTGCGCAATTCTTTTATTTTATAATTGAATTAAAAAATATCTTTTTATGAAATTATTAATGCAAAAAAAGGACCTCCGAATGGAGTGATTTTTAATATTTTAATTTTTTTTTTCCTTACATCATTTTACGAAGCGATTTGCATCGTAAAATTAAACCTTATTTTTTTCTTTTGATATGTGTGTGTGGGGTTTTCTTTTTGATTTTGCATTCATTAATGACTGTCAAAGCCTGCTGAACGCCCGGAGTTTAAACGTTGCCCGCAATATTCCGGTTAGCCTGTTTTACAAATTTATGAATGACCAAAAAACACAAACTATTTCATTTGTAAATTTATGATCTATATCAAAGTGTTTTTTTATTAATAATCAAAGAAATTGGATGTTTTTCTTTTTGACATGAAATTTGAAGCAATTAAAAGGACTTTTGTGTTTTCAAAGTAACAGCCCAACTTCGGTTAGAAATTCATATCCAACCGATTATTCACAATAGCGTGGTTGTTGAAACAGAACTTTACATAACGCAAGAAACGGACTTTCACTAAAATGAAAGAACAATCATGAACGAAAAAAAATGCGATCAAATGTATTGTTCTTTGAAGAGATTTTGTGATATATCGTATAAATCTTTCCGAACGGTTATGTTTTGTGATACATAATAAACTTTGAGTATAGTTCTTCTTCTATTGAATAGCATTTCCCAATTGGGAAGTTCTTCCTGAAGTGTAACAATCCGGGCCTGAATAAGAATTCCATTTTAGGTACTAGTCCCATACCCATAAGTACCTAAGATTTGTTTAAATCTACATTATTCTTCTGCGATGAGCTTCATATCTTCTTTGCATGTGTTAGTTTCCGTTTTAACAATTAGAAGGAAGGAGGACGAGGTAGACGTTCTCCATTCTAAAAGTATTGTTCTAATGCACGTGTAGCTTTGAACTGTTGTCAGGCTGGAGCAATAAAGACACAAAATACGGTGGGAAAGGTGTTGATGATTTGGGAAAGCTTTCCTTATATTCTATGATTCTGGCATTCCTTAATAATGAATCAAAAATACATGGAAACGGAAAAGTGTATAAAAGTTTTATGCCCCACACTCAAACAAAAGCCAAATCAAAACCATGTTTGTTAACCGATATAGCACAATATCATTAACAAGCAAAAAAACAAGCAAAAGTCTTACTCTATGAAAGAGATGTAGCCGGAGTGTTTCCATTGCGGGGTCGCTCGGCAGTAGTATGCCCCGGACATGATGATGTATTTTTGATCTCTAACAACAATAGAAAAATATTTAGTCGGAAACCAGTACATATTTTCCGATTGACCAGGTGTATTATTTTTTTGCAAAACTGACATATTCGGATGACTAGATAATAATTTGCGGATAATGAGAAAGACGCTACTCTATTACCTGTTGGGGAAACGGAATCCAAGAAATCCGTAATTATTGGCAATTGATTGAAATGCAAATTGCCTACTAAGATAATTTGTATATAACTTTCTTGAAAAGCGATTAGCCTTACCCAGTTGAAGGATATTGGACAAATAGTTGATTTCTTATAGTAGTAGTACGAGGTTGAATGCATTGGACAACAGCTCACTTCTTAAAATTATTCCAGTTGGATTGGTTCTGTATTCCTTTCTAGAACTAGAATGTAGCATTACCCTAGTGACGGAACCCGAACTCGCAGCCGACTGATAAAGTAGCGAATTACGTCAGAGATATGAGATAATACTCAAAAAAATTATACACACAGCCAATTAGTTACAATCCATAAATTAACCTATTATCCAGAAACCTCGGACACCTTTTCTGAAGTTCTACTGAATTTTAAGTCGGGTGGTGGTACCTCTTGCCAAGATTCTCAGAAAGTAATTTGTGGCAGTTCAATCGTTAAAGAAATTGAAGGATTTATTTTCGTACATCAAACCATTCAACTGTCATGCATTCCCTTGACTATAGAGATAAAATCAAAGTCATTCCAGATGGTGCGAATAGACATGTCATTGCTATGAAAGCTTGCTGGGCACTTTTTTAATCTTTTTTTTTTCTGTCCAATGATCTTTGAGCGTTTTTTTGGTAAGTGCACACAACTCATATATGT